GAAATTGTGGTACGTTCATGAAATGGAATACTATGCGGCACTTAGGAGCAAAGATTTCAAAAAATACACCATAACTTGGGAGAGATTGGAGAGCATTATGATGAGTAAACTAACTCAGTCTCATAATGATACATAATACATAAGAGGGTTATTGTAAAAAATAGATAATTAGTAAAATGCCATATGGGGTCCAAAGAGGGAAATGGTGGGAGTAGAAAGGTGAGGATAGGCAGGAAGACATCAGAAGGTTGCAGTTTGGTGGATGGATGGAGGGAGTAAAGGAACTTGGAAAGATTTTGTGGGGATCTGGAATAATGGGGAAGTAATAGTAGGCATTGTTCAATCATGATAATTTTATAAAACACAATGAATGACAATGATTGTATGAAACACAGTAAGTAAGAAGGATGGTGTGAAACAATGTATGAGAATTTTGTATGCAAACCAATATAAAACAAGAATTAAAAAATAAAAGATGTAGCATTCTTAGAATGAACTTGGAGTACTATGAATTCTCTATGTTGTTGTTAAGTGCCATTGAGTCAAGTATGATTCATAGTGACCTATGAACAACAGATCTGAATCCTGTTCAATCCTTTGCCATTCTCACAATCTCTGACACATTAGAGCTCATAGCTGTATTCAGTCAACCTATTGAGGTTCTTCCTCTCCTCTGTCATCCCTTTCCTTTCCTAGCATAATATCCTTCCCCAAGGAATAATCTCTACTAGTAATATGCCCAAAATATGCTAGACCAAGCTTCTCCATCCTTGCTTCCAAGGAGCAAATTGGCTTCACCTTCTCCAAGACCTATTTGTTTATTCTTTTAAAAGTCTATGAGCTATTCAGTACTCTCCTATAACACCATAGTTCAAAGGCATCAAGTTTCCTTCTGTCATCCTTACATATTGTCCAGCTCATATGGATTCTAGGAAATTTTTTTGTATGAGACAGAAAGAATTAGTTGAAAATGTAGGATGCGACTCCTCTCATCTCCCTGTTTCTTGAAAAATAGTTTCCTGTCATTGTTAACCCTATTTCCTCACCTCTCTCCCTTTCTTCTCTTCTTTCACAAAAAAAATCAACTCTGTAAGAACTCCTCTCTTCTTTAGAATTATAAAAACTAATTGTTGAGACATCAAAACTCTCATATGCTGGTTCTCCAGTGGATTTTCTGAGGTTATGTAAATTGCATTTGAGAATATTTCCCTACAGTTTCAGAAAAATGGTGGAAGTGAGACATTTTCAATATTTCTGCACTACAGACTATTGTACATTTCACTATGCGAATGGAAACTTACTAGAATTGATGCCTTTGAATTATGGTATCGGTGAAATGTATTCAATATACCATGGACTGCTAAAAGAACAAACAACTCTGTCTTGAAAGAAGTATGACAAGAGAACTCCTTAGAAGCAAAAATGGTAAAATTGCATCTCACTTTGGGCATATTTTCAGGTGGAACTAGTCCTTGAAGGGAGATGTCATTCTGGGTAAAGCAGAGGGTTGGTGCAAGAGAGGAAGACCCTCAGTAAAATTTATTGAAACAGTCACTACAACAAAGAGGTTGAGAAAGACAGATATTGTAAGGCTAGTGTAAGATAGGGCAAGGCTCAGCTCTGCTGTTCTAGGGTCATTATGAGGCATAGTTAACTTAAGGGCACCTAACAACAACAACAACAACATACCAATAACTTATCTATCTATGTATCTATCTATCTATGGTATATAGATATAGATGATATAAATATAGATAGAGATAGATAGATGTAGACATAGACATAGATATAGATGGATATTTGGAAGCAGGAGTGGCATCCACTTCCTAAGCAACATGCCTCTGGAAACTCTGTGAACTTTGATAAATGATCATAGTTACAGAAAGGCTTCAGGCCTTTTGTTCATAGGGTCGCTATGAGTTGTGCTCGACTCAATGACAATCAACAACAACAACAACATATATAGATATATGCCATATAGATAGGTACAAGCCATTTAGATAGACAGATATAAGCCCTATGGATAGATAAAAGCCATATAGATATAATAACAAAGCATAACATAACAACATAACATAACATAATAAACTAATATAATATAATAATCTATCTTGTTGTTAAGTGCTGAGTCATAGACGACTCATAGCGACCCAATGAATGAAATACCTGAACACTTGAATAACTTTCATCGTTTCTCCATGTTCATAGAGTTTCCGGAGGCAAGCTATTTCAGAAGTGGATGCTACTCCTGCTTCTAAGCTTGTATTAATTGATGAGCTCCACCAAGCATTATCCACTATGGGTAACCATGATCACATTTGACACATCAGTGTCACAGTGTTAGCATTGCAGCAACCACGAGTCACCTCTGTAGAGCAAATGGACATGCCAGTCCTAACAACGACAACCTATGTTTTACATATATAATTTGTTTTGTTTACAAATACCTCTGCTGAAAGGAATTATAGTTATCTCAATTTTACAGATGAGGAACATATTGGATTAAAAAAATAAGGTCATAGAGTTAATGAAAAGTTAAAAATGAGAATAGTAATCAAGCATTTGGAAATTAGTTTCTCATCAGTGTTATGGAATTGCAAACTTAATTATTTAAAATATTTTATATGATGCACATTTTAATATACATATTTAAAATCATAAATATAATGCCATGCACCATTACATAATTAGTTGAGTGTGACTCAGGAAGCAATATTGAAAACAAAGCAAAATAAAACTCCCCAGGTGACCCTGGTATTGGGAAAGTTTGGAAAGTACTGACCTAATTGACCTCTAGGGTCCTTTACATTTTTTTAAAAGATCATATATTCATATATATTTTCCAAATTATTTTCTTTCTTAAAGCAATAACCCTACAGCTAGGTAAGAAGGAATTTATGGCAAATAACATGTAGATAAATTCTGTGTTCTATCTTCTCACACTATAACAAATTAAGGCATTTCTTATGTCTAAACAAAAGTTTGAGCTATGATTTTCTTTTGGTTTTAATGAAGTACATGAGGCTTATGTAAATAGGTCTATTCTTTCAATATGTACAGATATTGAACAAATCTAATGCACTTTTTAAAGCATTTTTTATAGTAACCTACATTTTCCCAAGAGTTTTTTTTTAAAGTAAAATAAGCTTTCTTAATTCTTTAGTGAGTCTTCATTGGGGAGCTACTGGATCTCCAATAAAGTACTAAGTTTTTAAATACAACTTTATCTAGAAATAATTTTCTTAGTTAAAACATTTTTGTATGTTCATTATCTCAGCATTCATTTACTGAGCGCTTTTTATTTCCCAGGAGTGACATATTTTATATAATTCACGTCTATCATGGAATGTAAGCTTTAAGCAATAATCGTATACAGTACATGTTGTTAGCCCTGTTTTACTAATGAGAAAACAGAAGCTCATTGAAGTTAAACAATTTATACCTAAGATCACTCAGTGAGTTATAAACCTTGGATTAAAGGTCAGATTTACATGAGTTACAGTACCATGATTTTAATCAACAAAATATTTTGATCTTATAAAAGAAACAGCCACAGTTAGATCTGTTTCACTTCTTCTGATTCTTGAAATTTTAATTTTATGAAAATCTCAAGTAAATGATGTCATTATAAATATGGTATTAAGCTCCTTGAGGAGAAGAAATATTGTCTTATCACCATAATAAAATGTAATAAATGAACATAATAATAAAAATTTACTTTTTACCACTTATAGATACATAAATAGATATCTTTATAATTAATATTTTATCAATGTTTGTTTAGCAGTTGTAATTAAATATTCATAGTTATATACATCACAGGTTCCCCCCACCCCAATTTATTTGCATTAATAATTTCTTATACGTTAACAATATGCATAGAATACTTCTGATCAGGATAATAATGTTGCACTTTAACCAAAGTGTTCCTATATTAGCAAAGGTGAGTTATGTATCTGAAATGCTATCCCTTTGATGGCAAAAGGGAAAGATGTGCTATAATTAAGCTGTCAAAGATTAATAGTGGATTCAACAGGAAGTAGAGGTAGAAAAGTATTAGAAGCAAGATTATAGGAGGAAAAAATATATTAATCCCTTTTGATTATTTTCTCTGTGACTGGTGGTTCATTCTACTTATAGAAATATAAAAATCATTGTCCTTTTTGTTTGTTTGTTTCATATATATAAAACATAATGTATCTTGTGTGGAATAGAACTGACCTATGTTTCCTCCTACTTCACTAGCCCTAAAGGTGACAAAAGAGAAGCTCAGGTGACACAATTTTTAAGTTCTTGGCTGCTAATCACAAGGTCAGTGGTTGGATCTTACCAGGTGTTCCCTGGGAGAAAACAATCTGGCTGTCTACTCCCATAAAGATTATAGCCTAGGAAGTCCCATATGGCAGTTCTCTCAGATAACATTGTTCTTAGCCAAAATCTCCTTGATGGCCCTTAGTAAAAGATTTAACAGAAGAGGCACTGAAAGAACATTAGTAGTTTAGATGGGTAAGAAGTGAAATTAAGATTCAGTCCATCTCTTTAAAAGTCATGTGGCATAAAATGATTGATAATCTATCACGATCAGAGACATTATTAGACCTGGTAGTCTAGTGGTAAGAAGCTGCACTGCAATCCCAAAGGCACATGGTTTGAATACACCTGTTACTCTCTGGAAGGATGGACAATCTCCTCCTCTATGATTAACTGGTTCTGAAAACCTACCGGTGGGTCAACTATGGGTTGGTTCCAACTCAATGGTACACAACAAAAACAACAATGACCTGCTTTGCCCGCATAGTCCCCAAATCACACACAATCAAAACAGATCTGCAAAACTCAATTGTGATTGTACCTGAATCCTACCAAATATAAAATTATGTTGTCAGATGTATTTCCAGTAGCATTTACTCTGCTTGGGAATTTCAAATGTCAAAAGATGACAAAACTTTCTGTGGACTTCATGATCTATCATGTACTCATTTCTCAGATAGGTCTCAGCTATGGAGAGTGAACTGAAAAGGAATTATTCGGAATTGACAGAATTTATTCTTCTGGGATTCAGAACATCTCCAGAAATACAGATTCTTTTATTCTTACTGTTCTTGCTTGTTTACATGGTCATCGTGGTGGGGAATATCAGCATGATAATTGTCATTAAGGTGGACTCTAAACTTCATACACCTATGTATTTTTTCCTCAGAAATTTGTCCTATTTAGACCTTTGTTACTCCACAGTCATAGCTCCAAAATCTTTGGCCAATTTCCTGTCCAAGGAAAAGAAAATTTCTTACAATGGGTGTGCAACACAATTCTTTTTCTTTGCTCTCTTTGTTGGTACTGAAGGCTTTCTTCTGGCTGTGATGGCATATGATCGCTTCTCAGCCATTTGTTCACCTTTCCTGTATACTGTACGTATGTCTCACCAGGCTTGTGTCCGTTTAGTTGTTGGTTCCTATATCTGTGGATGCATCAATTCTATGATTCAAACAGGCTTCACCTTCAGTTTGCGTTTCTGTGGTGAAAATCGACTAGATCACTTTTTCTGTGATGTCCCTGCCCTAATCAAGATTTCTTGTGTCAATACTTTTGTCAATGAGATTGTGCTGTTCATTCTTTCTGCTTTCATTATCATCACCACCACAACAGTCATTCTGGTTTCTTATGCTTATATCCTCTCTACTGTATTGAAGATCCCTTCAACCCATGGCAGAAGTAAAACCTTCTCCACTTGTACCTCTCACATCATTGTGGTGAGTTTATTTTATGGAACTGTGTTCTTCATGTATGCCCAACCTGGGGCCATCTCCTCACCAAAGAAAAGCAAGATTATAGCAGTGTTCTACACTCTTATCATCCCCATGCTAAATCCTCTGATTTATAGCCTAAGGAACAGAGAGGTGAAAAATGCTGTGAAAAGGCTATTGTTAAAAAGAATATCTTTCCTTTGAATTTCAACCATCTACTAAAATGTGAAAGTGAATTAATACAAGAAATAGTCTCAATAATTTATTACAAAATAATTTGAACTAACTCAATCTCACAGCTCTAATTTGATTCTGACTCATAATGCTCCTCCACTGGGTGCTATTATTTGATTTCACTTATGTTGTTAGGTGCCATCAAATCACTTGCAACTCATAATGACTCTATATACAATAGCTTTGAACCCTGCCCTATCCTGAGCCAGTCTCACTGATTCCAACACAAATACCCCAAGTACCCTAGTCATAGTGTCAATCCATCTCATCCGGGGGCTTGTTCTCCTGTGCTGTCCTTTCCACCCTTCCAAGCATGATGTTCTTCTCTAAGGACTGCTCCCTCCTGGACACATGTACCAAGTATGGTGATAGAATTCCAAAATTATTGCCTTCACGAAGAAACTTTGTTTCATCCTCTCCACGACAGACCTCTTCATTCTCCTGGAGGTCAATGGGATGTTCAATACTCTTCTCCAGCATCACAACTCAAAGGCATCAATTAATCTTCTGTCATCCTAAATCATTGTTCAACTCTCTGATGCATTAAAGTAATTGTCAAGACCATGGCCTGGACCAGGAGCACCTTAGTCCCTAGACTGATGTAAGTTTTTAGCACTTTGGAGAGGCCTCTAATAGCAGACTTCCCAATGAAACTCACCTTTTGGTTTCCTGACTGCTGGTGCCAAGAGTGTTGATTGTAGAACCAAGCAAGCTGAAATTGTTAACAACCCAAATCTCTTCTCCATCTGTTACGGTGCTATCAATTGGCCCAGTGGTGAGAATCTTTGTCTTCTTGACGTTGAGCTTCAATACATATTGAAGGCTTACAGACCCTTAATAAGGTCAAGGTTTTCATTATATAGATTTAAAATTGCAACTCATAAATACTTATTAAAATTAATAAATACAGCGCTAGCAAGTGAATATGCTATTACTCATGAAATGAAGTGTTCAGAGTAAGAGAGAGAGAGAGAAAGATTTTTACATGGTGATCCTTTATGTTTTACCCAAATTATGATAGAATTTGCCTCTGTCTAACCGTGCAAACGAGAATTTGAAGTGCTATACTGATGTAAATCATTGACTTTATAATAGTAATCATATCAAGAACTAGAATGTCTTTAAATTAGTCAGATATAAATGATTGCATTAAGAAGCAGAACAAAAGAAATGTGATATAATTTTTGATGTTAGAGATTTAATAATGTAATCTTTTTAGATTTTTTTATTGGTCTTATTAGTTTATATATTCATAGGCCATTTATACAACATATAT